ATTGATTCCATCTGCCTTACCACTTTGCAAGTTTTTTCCTGCTTCTATGACTTAACATGCTGAAGGACTAGTGTCAGTTGCCTGCTGCCCTTCAGGCGATTTTTCTTGCCATTGCTCGATGTTAAGTAATTCTTTAAAATGCTCTCTTTATTGCCAAAGTATGTCCTTTTCCTTGGAAAGATGGCGTCTGCACATGTCTTTCATTACTTTCTTACGACCTTTTCTCCTGCTCGAACCGGCGGATGATCTGCCAGAATGCTTTTTTTTGCCGTCGACTCCCGGGCATGACCGAACTCTTCCCAGTTGTCGGCTTTCGAACGTTTTCATTGTAATTCACCTTAATGGGTAGACGGTTGTTAATACTTAGTCTAGCCTTCTCTTTCAGACTTGTCCAGTCTATGTGGTCATACCAGAAGCATAACCTCTTCTACTCCATTACTACGTTACAAGTGCGATCTCGGCACTGTACTTAAATTATTTAGTTTTTGGACGAACAGGATTTATAATCTTTCTTTGCTTAGTTTGTAGAAGATATGTTTCTGAAGGTTACCGCGGAACTTCTATCGACGACTTTTGAAGATTTGAACATTTGCTGGAAATATCACGAATCATTTATTATGGTATGTTTAGCCGCGTTGCTCATTTCAGTTACGAGTTTTTTTTGACAGCACGATGAATTGCGGAAACTTTTAAAGTCTCAAAAATTTCATGCCATTTCATACGATGATGCTCTGAAGGTGGCTGGGGTATTTACGGTAAGTTCAAATTTTGAATAACTGAATTCTTCGGTTATACAAGCATCGCAGTTGATGTTGAGTCTTCTACTTGCATGGTCTTCCTTTACCTTGGTAACATGTGAAGTGTTCGAAAATGGGTATACGACTCTATACATCAAAACAGCTATCACGGCTTTCATTTTAATTTTCTAATTATGCATTCAGTTATACACTTACCAGTCTTGTTCACTTCGTTATGTCGTATTCTGATGCACGGTTACTGGTCAGCTGCACGAAGTTGAAATACCTTCTTGGCAGATCATGTCAAGTATACGTTTTGTTAGAAGAGACCTTTTGTGATCAAACGATAGGCTGTTCGTTCGTGATGCATTGTTGCCATTCCATTTGTCTAGATACTGCAGCCATAAGAGCTATTTTTGGACATCTGTAAAGACTTATTAATATCTCACATTTGAAGTAATTGTTCTACGCGGTTGTTTTTTGATTCAGGATTCAAAAGTGTATAGAAATAAGCATAGGAACGATGTTACAATTTTTGCTCCTGATTGTGCCTTCACCTGTGTTTGCTATTATCATCACTGGGTCGTTTGCTCGCTCAGAACCTCTGGCTTCTGTTAGTATGTGTAATAACCATTTAGAGTTTGAGTCAATAGCTGCAATGCATGAGGTTCCCAGGACGGCAGGCGGATTAGTATGGTTTCAGCCACTTTTCACTGCGTCCGCGGGGAAACTGCTCCTAAAGTATTGTAATTTTGCATGAAAGGTATTTACTTGTTCAGCGTTGTTTATCAGTCGGCGGCTTTCGTTGCTGGGTTGCCATAAGAAAATTTTATGGAAAGAGATGTCTATCTCTTTTAGACAATAAATGAAGCATTCAGATGCATTTTTACGTTTCTTTAAGTAGTTTTATCTCCGCTCTTTACTCAGCACGCATTTATTATTTCAGATTCGTTTTGGCTAATTATTCTGCTCTTTTAGTAAAAAGACAAAAAGCAGCAATACAGTCTGCAAACCATGCGGCTTTACATAAAGAACTGACAGAAGAAACATTCATTTAATTGTGAATGACATTTCTCGTACTATTCCTAAAATGGTTTAGAGTTTGTCTTGGTAACGTGAGCAGGACGATCCGCTTTCTTAATGCTTTGAAAAATAATTAAATCCCTGACTGATGCTTCTCTGGCTCTGGTAATGCTGGATTTTTTTTTGTCAGGCGTGTGGTGGAATTTCAGCACCTCGACCGACGCAGCTTGTTTTTACTGGCTTTAAAGTTCCCCTGGCAAATCAGCATTACCACAAAACATAATCTACAGTCAATGGAGCGGGATGATCCAGCATTTCGGTTCTCTACGCATTGCCGTAGCCGATTTATGTTTTCGAAGCAAAGACGACTTGAAAGCAATGCAAATATTGCATGATGCGGGATTTGCCGAGTATTTGTATTCGTAAACTATTTTTTGGCCTAATTTTCTATGTTCATTAAATATTAATGAAATTAATATTTTGGAAAGTTTCTTGTCTTTAAGAATTCCTAGCAAATTAATTATCACTTTTGCATTAAAAGAGTAAAAGACTTGGGAAGAACGAAGAAAAGGCTATATGCAGCCACTTTGGAAATGCACCAGTTTTTGTCACGCATTTTCCATCAGATCAGAAACCTTTTTATATGAAGACTTCTGAAGATGGACGTAAGGTACAACACTGATGAAATCGAGCTTTTCAATTTGCTTCACTTATTTATACGTACATTTGTTTATTATACTTTTTTGCATTTGCACTTCTTCAGTACGCTGCCGTATCGTTTTAGTGTTTGTGCTTCGATTTGCTGCTCCCAGAAGTAGGAGAAGTTTGTGGGGGAAGTCTTAGAGAATGTAACGGCGACATTCTGCGAGAAAGGCTATCATCTGTGCATGCTAGTGGAAACGTGGATTGGTAAATTTTCATTTGTTTATATCCTTTGTTGCCGCTCTGTCAGTACGTTTTATCGGAATTACTGTCTAAAATCTACGAATACCGCTTTGTCGTATTTCATTACATGAAAGATTAAGCTTTTGTGATCTCATTTTGTAACAGCGTGCAGTTGCAAAATATATTAAATTAAGTAGTCGTGACAAAATTCGACACTCTACAGCTGCATTGCTTCCTTATCATTTTGTCATTAATACCCCTAGAAACGATTATGGATAATCTTGTGCCGTTAGTTTTGCATGTACAAACCTTTTCGCTTTAAAAGCAGGATGACATAACTGTATCGTAACAGAGCAGAGTATTTCATTTGTGTGTTGTTGCCCATACTGAAAAGCAACGGTTTATTAATACACAGGGGGAAAATATTATGTTCAATCAGATGATTGACCACTGCTCACGTTTGGGTCCATTTCTGATTGGCCTTATTCAATGTTGGTGAAGTTTCACAGGTTTTTCTTGTCGTCCATGGCGGGTGGTAGGTACGTAGCCAGAAGGCCTTCTCGTTTAAAACTTCCCAAAACGTCGGTATTGTTAGTCATCCCATTCATCATGATATTTCTTGATGTATGAACCCTGTTCTATAGCCTTTCATCGTAGCACAGTGGGATATCTGAAACGAGTAAATGAATAGGGTAGTTGATTTTTACTGATAAATGCAAGAAGCAAACTTATTCATTAAAGTGTGAAGAAAATGTTGCTCTTCAGTGACCGCTCTGCTTCTGTCAGAAATATTTTTCCGTCGGAACTCTTCGATTATTGCCTCTGGTCTTCAAATTTTCCTCTTCTGTTTCTCCCACAACGTATACTTGCATTCTGAGAAAAAAAATAGAACAGATTATAATTGGACTTCTAGCAAGAAAATTCGCTATACAGGCTAGAGGTAGGCGACCAAAGCAAATCTGTGATGGCAGCAGAATGTTCCATTTTATAAGTTTGCTTTTATTTGCTCACAGGGTAAATTGATCACAAAATGGGACGGAAACTATCATTATCTGTTACCGTATTCGTTCGCTGAGAAAGCGCGACGCCTCATTGTCTGTTTCTAGCTTAATCAATAGCATTATCTATTGCTGAAGTAACCGTCTCCAATGGTGCAGGAGCTCGCTTCGATCTGGAGCGGTGTTTCCTGCCTTTCCACAGTGATGTCTCACCGTGGCAGAAACTTCATGAGGTGCTTAACTTATCTAAATCCGTTCAGCTGGGTGATGACTTGGGAGAGGTCGCTTGAGCCACACCTAAAACTCAATGAACCACAGGACACGATGAGTAACTGGATCAAGAATGTCTTCATCTTAATCTTCCATGGCCGCTTCTCCTCTCAGGTCACAGATGCAGACGCATCAGACAGTACTTCCAATATTCCCGATCCAGTGCCAAACTCTGAGCTTCGGCACAAAACAAAGGCAGTCTGGAACAGATTCCTTCCATATATTTGCACCAAGTTAATCTTGACCATCCCCTGGGCCATCTGCCAGTCGGATGGGCAAGAAACAGTTACTTAGCGTTCCTTTCTGGAGGCTTTCTCAACACGTGCCCAAATCATCACAGCTGTGAATTCTCAATCTGGAGAGGCAGCATCTGTACGCCAAGGCTCTCGATGTCTATATTCCAGACCAAGTCGAGACGTGTGGCCAGCGACTCATCTCAGAAAGCCCATTTCAATCGCTTGTACCTGACATCGATGTTTTTCAGCCATGGAATGTTAGCTGTGGATTTTGCCACAAATGCGTGATAAATTCTGGGCGATTAAATAAATTTATATTATGGATTTGTAGACCGAAAAGTGTCAACAGGTTTCCTAGCCCAAATTTCAGATCATGTTGATGCATCTGGCGCTATAAATTCATTGTTTGCATTAACAGTGCTTTTTCTAAGCAAATCAGAACAAAGGGGCGAAACAGTACTCTGTAAAATCTAAAGGAGTTACTCGTAATGTAATGATATGGAAATCGCAGTTCATAATATCTGGCTAGACATCTTCCTGACTTGGAATACGCAGATGATATTTTCTTTGTGAATAGTGCGGAGGGTACGATGAAATCTGTGAAAGCCGCCTTCTTCCTTATGCCCAGAGATCAAAACGTTATGAGGAACTCATTCAGCACAGCTGGCTTACTAGTGGAACAAGGAGGCGAAGCAATGCAAACTATTGACCAATATATGTATTTTGGTTGCATCTTCTTCAGCGATGGCACCACCTGGCCATTGTTAAATAGGAGGATCATCTTAGGCTCAAATTCTTCTAAAAACTTGCCAGTATTTAGGCTGAGAAACGAGTAACTTATTCAACAAAATTCCGCCTGTACCTTGCTTCTCTCAGTTCACTGTTGTTGTGCGGCACCTGATTAACTGGCGTGATCTCTGTCTTCTCTGGTGCCAAGAGAAGATGGGCTGGCCATTTGGCTCGCTTGAGAGACAACCGATGGACGTCATGAATTATGAACTAGGTTCCTCTGGATTACCACCGTCTTCTCGGTCGCCCAAAAACGTGCTACTCACCAGCGGTAGAGAAAGCAGAAGAGGTTTGAATAGCTTCGATTGCACTAAGGCCTCTCTGAGGATCTTGTTGTTAAATCAGTTTCTGAAATTTCCTACTTAGTACCTCATTAGTATTTCAAAGTAATGTGTTAGAAAGTTGAGGTGAGTTTTATCCACTGCATAATTTTCCTAATATTTATTACTGTCGTACACTTGCACTTAATCTTCTAGATCTACATGCTAATGTCCGTGATTTTGAAACGTCAAATTAATCTAATTATTGAACAGGCATTTTCCCCAGTGAAAATCATAAAACGTTTTAGTTGCATTAAATTATCCTATTTAGGTATCTGGATCTTCGAAAATACGGACATCCTCAGCTTGGTGGATTTGGTTTAGGATTTGAGCGACTGCTTCAGTTCCTTCTCGGAATTAGGAACATAAGAGATTGTACGTATTTTCCGCGTTCGTATCAGCATTGCTTCGGTTGAATCTGTTTTACATATCAGCAATCTATACCCTGTTTGTTGTAGGAACATAATTTTTATGCAAGAAAGTTTTGTTAATTTTACGTTTTGTTCAATAGTGCTTATTTGTCGTTTTTAGCTAAAGTAGTTCTCTAGTTAAATTTGCTGTTTGTGATAAGGAGTCTGTTTATGGTTGAATTAATGCTTGACATGAATGGAGAAAAAGATTATGGCAATTTTTTCGTGGTCTCCCTTGCTGCATGTTAATCATACTGCTGGCGTCCTGAAAGAAGAATACTAGAGGTATTGCTTTCTCTGCACGAAAGCATTTTCTGGTCACCGTCCTTATCATTTTGAACTTGATGCGTAGGTGACGTCTAGCGGGTCACTAGGTTGTAAACTGTAACAGTCGCTAATTCGTGCATTAAATGTAGACCAGTTTGATAACTAAAAATAAAAGCGCAACACGATATGCAAAAATTGCCTAGAGCGTAAAGCGTAGTTTTGCGAAACCCCATCCTAAGTTCAAGCAAACTTTTGGAATCGTGTATACACAAGACCTGCCAAAGCTGGTATTTAACAATAACTGTACTATACAGGTACTGTGCAGTGCACCAGAGCTTTTTCCTTATTGAAAAAACGCTTTACTTGGAAACGATTGCAAAACATTTTTTATATGAAATATGGTTGAGGAAATGACATACAACCAGTCGACAACTACGACCTGTTACGTGTATATGTGGAAGAGTGGGTATCTATATAAACCACTAGAAAGAAGACAATGGAATGTCATTTAAAACGGCTTCAGTAACGATATCTTTTGCAAGTTTCTTTTCATCTGGAAATTAACTATCGAAAGCCATGTTTTAAGTTATGCACCTATAGGTAAAGTCGCAAAAATTAAGATCGTGGAGAAACGTACATAACGTCGCGAAGATGCAGCTGTCTTAAGTTTTTGCTCATAAAGAATCTATTGTAGAAGCTAGGCTGAAAATACCCAACACTGTTACAAAACCACAATCGCTTTCTGAATGCTAAGACAGTGAGCAGTGAAAGCTAAGACTGAGAGGCAGCAATAACAGTAACTCTGTGAAATTCAATATGTATTCTCTATTTATCCAAGAACAGACTCTGATAAATTAATAAAATATGCTTAAGGCTACATTATCACTATAAAATATAGTAGCTACAGAACTGTTTATCTGAAAGTCACTCTTTCCCTTCCAGGGTTCAGGAATATAACGTTATAAATATGACTTAGTTTTAATGTCGCTGCTAGTTACTTTAGCATCGTTATGAGTCGCAAATTCATTGTGCCGATGCATTGGTTTATTTGTTTGCTCCATATCGTACCTGTGCTAAATACCACCAGCACACTACCGATCGACGCCAAGAATAGTTCGCTAACCATCACCTTCTCCAGGTCATTCAATCACTGCGACCAGCAATTAATGTTATTTCAAATTTAGGTGCTTGATGCTTCTTTTTTTCCTTTCATCTGCTTTTGTGAGACCTATCCACATTTACCTTATTAAGTAGTCAGTACTATAGATATATCCTACAGCAGTCGGTGAACGGTGTGCGTTTTAGCATAAATCTGAGACCCTTTCAACAAAACCAAGCTTGACCATTCTCTTTGGCAATCCTATTATTCAAATTGAATGTTTAATTCTTCCAGAATTATCATGGATTACTAAATTGTATCCAGTTTGTAAATTTCAATGGAAAGTGTTTAGTTGATCTTGTTCCAGTGCTCGTTGTTCAAAGTTTACTGTTTGAACAAGGTCACCGAAAGTTTTTGACTCATCTTGATAAGGTGACTAGTTTCTAACCTTATCAATTGTGCCCTAATGATGCCATCAGTATGGTAGCAAAACGTTGTGACCATAAAATGTTTACTACTGCTTGTGGTGTCCTCTAACACAGACCAGCAAATCAGTTACAATACCATAGGATTTTCTTTTCTTGCACAGATAAAAGATAAATATGATTTATTGGATTATACTGACTTTAAGCTGAAGCAAGATTCACACAAACGTATACATTTACAGATCGACTACTAGAATTCCACAGGAAAACAAAATCAGTACAACAAAAAGGCAGAAGAAGAAACATGAGCCATAGGTTACAAGGAAAGACACTTTACCGATGATACTTAACAGGTTTATTTCCGGCAACTGAAATTTTTTGTCGCCGTCGATCACCTGATTATAACTGGTACCGAAGAGTAGCGAAAAGCTTGTTCTACATCGAAACTAAACGACTTGAAGCGATTTCTTGTAGCAACAATCATCAAGCGGCATCCAGTAACGTCTCTATTTATGAGATGGCCGTGGTCGGCAAGAACCTCGCCACGTTCAGCAACCCCATTTTTAACTATGGTAGTTGTTTGTCTCACCAGATCTTCCAAACGTAATGCGCTTTAGATCGAAGAGGAATCTAAGAAAGTCTAATACGGCCGCATTTTTTATACGTGAGGCTGCTGAAAGAGGGGGTGCCATGTATAACAACTGTAGCATTAAGCAACACCCCTGCGGCAGCTTTGAATTAACTCCTAGGTGTTTAATCCTTAAAAATGAAAGCACTTTGTTGAATTGTACGGCAACATCGGTAACCTGCATATCCCATTTCAAGTTTGTGTTCAATGCTACACCAAGGTAATTTATCACATCAGCTTCCATGAAGTTCAGATTGCGTAGGTGGCTGACTGACCATTTGTAGGTTTCGTGGAATCAACAGAATGAACTGGACGTGGACGACATATCGATGAT